AAAAAAGAAAAAGAAATGACTAATCTAAAAGCCTCTGGATAATTGTCTCCTTCCTGAAAATGGAGGAAAAGTTTGGTAAAGAAAAATTCCAGGCTGAGAGGATTGTTACAGTTTTTTTTTTAACCACATGTAAAGCCTAACAAACAACATAGCAAAAATAAATAATGTATAAACTATTCTATTTAAACTTATACTATTTATAATCACTCTATATTAATCACTTCTAAGATAAATAAATCTTCATGGAAACAGCAGGCAAAAACATTGGCTGATTATTTCATATGAAATGCTAAACTATGAAATTCAACTATATTTGGAAAATTCAATCATATTTATTTCTTAAAAACAACTAATAAACTTATAGACAAACTCATGTAAAAATTCAATAGCATTTGAAAGGTAAATAAACAGCACTAATGAGCTTTATTATAATCCTTTCCCATGTGTGATGTATGTTTGTGACTAACATCTGTTGAGATTAGGAAAACTTATTTTATTAAAACACAGGGAAATTTTACTTGATAAATTAATCTAGATGGGAAATCTATTTTTAAGAAGTTTCATTTGTGAAAAGGCATAAATACTTAGTCACACATAGTTAAATTTTGTTTATTTATTAGACTTTATTAGATCAGTAGAATCAGGCAATAATGACGTGGTCACCAAGACACTTTGAGAAGTAGCCACGATGAAGAGGAAGAAGTCATCAAGTTTTTCATTCTTACAGCCACAAAAGAGAGGGAAGAAATGGGGTTCAGCTGGGACAACAACAGCGGCCGTACAGAAATGGCTGGGCGGGGATCGAAGGACACGGTGAGCCTACGAAGCCAGGAATTCCCTGGGCAGATCTCCGTCTGCGGTTTGTCCCGAGGGCACCATCATGGCCAACATAAGTAAACCAGCTGTTTGTGGATCCATGTTGCCTCTCCCGTGCTGTGTGTAAGTCTCACTCACTGGCATGGAATACAGCAGCGCTCTTCTTTACAGGGCTTTTGCGGGTTGGTTGCTATTGGGAATCACTGTGATAGCTGCTACCCAGTGGTTCTCCTTGCTCCTTATTTCTGCTAAAAAGGGATGTGTTCTCCCAGAGGAGCCAGCAGTTGACTAAACCAAGTGACCACAGTCTGGGATAGCCTCACAAAGGCCCAGTTCTAATGAATGCCACCTATAAATAAAAGGGTTACATTTTTCGCTGGCATAAGTCCAAGAACTTGTGCTTTATGGCTTTCTCTTAAAATGGTCAAAAGAAGCTGTTCCATCCTTTATACCTATGTACTAAGCTAGTTTCCCAGCCACTGTTTTGCTTTTGTTTTTTCCCAGAAAACTCGGAGGCCCCAGAGTATATGCAAGTTTCAGTGCACTTGGAAGACCTTTTTTACCATCCCAATTGTGACATTTTTCTTAGCTTCTCCGAAGTGCTTGTCATACACCCAAATCAATTCACTGAATTAAGTATGTCCTGTGTGAGATGTGAGCAAAGCAAAAGCTGCTGGGAACAGAGTAGGTACAAAATAAGATGTAAAATCCTTCCACCCTTACAAACAAACAAGACCAAAAACTAGGATCTTGGGTTTGACATTTTGTGGTTCTTTTAAAATTCCAAACTATTCCTTATGCCTTAATTAGGGACAGTGTAATGCTTAAAATTGGATTAAAGACCAAGGATCCCAACTAAATCCAAAATAAAGATGATTGAAAAGAACTAAAGAATTGTTGGGCTGCAACAGCCAGGCAATTTTGGTGAATTTCCACGAATTCCAACTTTTTGGTTGGGTTTGTTTTGCTAATGATACAACCCTTATAGCAGAAAAACTTAGGTCCAAAAGCACAACCCACAGACAAAACCTTCAGTGTAACGTTTTCATTATTCCCAGAGGAGCAAGATTGCTGAGAGCCTATCCACTTGACCAGTTAAAAACTAGTCACCGTGAAGAAAGTGCATTCTTAGAATGCCTCATGGAGTGACTCTTCTGTTACGTCTATGAGGTGTTTTTATTTTGTATGGACTTTAGTTTGGGATTCAAATAGTCAGGAATGTCTAAATCTACATTCTCCACAGAGTCCGTCTGGTCCCCTAGGGAACAGTGAGAATTAAATATTAAACAATGGTAATAATGCTAATCTCAATTACAAGTATCTGTAGTTTAATGTTTAATCCTCACTGTGCTATAGGGCATTTGACTCCAAATACCTGTCTGCTAATGGTTAAGTGGGCAACCCCGCAGTTACCTACTCCCTTAGTTGTAATACCTTCCAGTTTTATAACTCTTAGAGTAACACTTACATTGTAATAATCTCACTTAATCCCCATAACAACCCTGTGTGTGACGTATTATTATCATTATATTTTCATAAATGAGGTCTATGAGATTAGGTGACTTGCCTAAATGTTACAGCTATATCAGTTTCAGAACTGATACTAGAATGATAACCTACGACTCCAAGTTCCAGCACTTGCTACAGCCACAGTTACCTTCCAGGTAATTATTAATATTTTTGAGATACATTCTCAAAGGAACACTTAAAGAAAAGTTGTATCTATCATCACAAATTAAAGGGACTTTGGTACCTAAGACAGGTCAATCATCGGTGCAGAATGTCCTAGAATTTAATGACATGTGATCTACGTATTGTAAAGGAAACTGAAAAGATGGAGGATAATTCAAGAAAAACCAAGTAGTATATTTTAACTGCTCAGTTTTATTTTTAAAAAGCTAAATATTGGCCAGGCACAGTGGTGACTCATGCCTGTAATCCCAGCACTTTGGGAGGCCAAGGCGGGTGGATCATGAAGTCAGGAGTTCAAGACCAGACTTGCCCACATGTGCAATCCTGTCTCTACTAAAAAAATATAAAAATAAGCTGGGCATGGTGGCTTGTGCCAGTAATCCCAGCTACTTGGGAGGCCGAGGTAGAATAGCTTGAACTGGGACCCTGGAGGCGGAGATTGCAGTGAGCTGAGATCGCGCCACTTCACTCCAGCCTAGGCTACATAGCAAGACTCCATCTCAGAAAAAAAAAAAGCAAAATATTTAAAGTTATTTTAAAGTCATTTGAAGCTGATACCATGGTTTCAATACAATGTTTAAAGGAGGTCTTTTAGGGCTATGCAAGTTAAAACTGTGTACCTTTTTTCACCAGCAGGGGGCAGTAGTAGGCATTTCCCCCATCGGTGTCCTCCTGTTGCATTAAGAGCCTGGCTCCCCACCACCACCCTCAGTGAGGAGTCTGAGGATAACAGAATAGAGTGGCTGACTTGGTTTAATTCCTGAAAGTCTTGGGCTCTAACACTCTCTAGTAGAATGCATCATGGTATTGGGTTTCTCTACAAATTTTATATAAATTCCAGGAATTGTCAAGAAAAAGTTCAAGGATGTGCAATTAACTCTTGTTATTCGAGATCAGAATAAGCTGCCAAAATATTGTTGTTAACGATTGGAAGTCCAATTTGTACTTATCTTTAATGAACAAGGAATACCAGAGCCTGCCAGCGAAATTGATGATAAGAGTCTGCTCACTTTCTAGAGAGAATCCTTTTCCCTCTACTCCACAAAAAAGAGTGCTGAATAAACAAAATCACAAACTGATGTCATCCTGGGCAGTTGAGTTACGAGTCAGTTATGTCCAGGCTAGCAAAATGGCCGAATGCCTGGATAGCATGGTCAGTATGAGCCATGGCAAAGCCTAAGGAATGTAAGAAACAGATACCGCTAAAAGAGAAGCAAGGTGCACACAAAGTCTCCACAGCACCTGTGAGAAAGACCTTCAGAGAATCTTGACCCGTCCTCTTTATCTTTGGTGCCCAACCCTTTCCATTTTCTGCCTCCCCAAACACAATCAGAGAGGCTGTAAACCAAATCTGTCAGAAAGCACGGATGTATTTTAAGCTTGTAGGAGAATTTCAAGGAGAAAGAGACTCATACCTCAGGGCCCCTGGTTCTCAGGCTATGAGCTGATCCTGAAGCCAGAACCCGGTAACCCTCCTAGTTAAAATAAATCTTGTTAGCTTCCTAGGTTCGGTCATTGAGTCCAGAAAATAAACTGGTAACAGGAGGATTAACAACAATAAAGTAATACAAAGTTTTCATTATTATTTTTAATGTTTAAAAATATTTGTGATCTAATGTTTTAAATAATAAAGTATTTTTAATCTATTTTTTAATATCACATGCATGGAATCATCATAAGAAAAAAGTGAATACCCAAACAAGTGGTGAGGTTTGAGAGCTTATGTACACTGTCTTAAGAAAAGAAGCAGAGAGAGGATGTAGACCACTTAGGGGAGAGTAAATGATTTTTAGGAAAGATTAATGGACCCTTAGAAGAAGAGCTGAGAGGTATAATAGTTTGTGACAAAGTGTGTCTGGGTGTGGTGTCAGCTTCTGGTCTCCTCTCCTGTGATTAAGAATCCATCTTTCCTGGCTGATGAAACTCCTGGGGAAGGAATTTATGACAATTGAGCTCCTCTTGGAGGATCTATCTTTAGGCAGGAAATAAGAGCTTGGCAAGAGCTTCTGCATTTGCTGTTTTTCAAATGCCTTGAGCTCAAAATGATCAATATACCAAAGTGGCATATTTTGGGGTGCCATGTCCTGAACTCCTTCAACCTAATTCGAAAAGAAGTCTCAGATACTGCCACAGTGGCTTTTTTTTTTTTTTTTTTGAGATGGAGTCTCGGTCTTGTTGCACAGGCTGGATTGCAATAGTGCAATCTTGGTTCACTGCAACCTTTGCCTACTGGGTTTCAAGCAATTCTCTCACCTCAGCCTCTGGAGTAGTTGGGATTACAGGCACCCACCACAATGCCCAGCTAATTTTTTTGTACCTTTGGTGGAGATGGGGATTCACCATATTGGCCGGGCTGATCTCGAACTCCTGACCTCAGGTAATCTGCCTACCTCGGTCTCCCAAAGTGCTGGGATTACAGGTATGAACCACTGTGCCCACCCACAGTGCCATTTTAAATTGAAATGTGAACGTGTCTAAAGGTATGTCCCTGTATTAATCAGCGTGGATTGCCGTAACAAAGTAACACAGACCGCAAGGCTTGAACAACAGAAATTTATTTCTCACAGTGCTGGAGGCTAGGAAGTTCAATATCAAGGTGCTAGAAAGATAGGTTTCATTCTCAGGCCTCTTCTTTTGGCTTGTAGGTGGCCACCTTCTCACGTCGTGCTCACATGTCCTTGAGAACAAGATCTCTGTTGACTCTTTTTATAGGGATGCTAATCCTACCATATCACAGCCCCATCCTTGTCATCTCAGGTAACCTTTACCACCTCCTTATAGGTCTTGTCTCCAATCACCTTAAGGCAGGGGTGCCCAATCTTTTGGCTTCCCTGGGCCACATTGAAAGAAGAAGAATTTTCTTGGGCCACTCATAAAATACACTAACAATAGCTGATGAGCTAAAAATTTAAAAATTGCCGAAGAAAATCTCATCCTTTTTTTTTCATTTGCATTTTGTTTTTTGAGACAGGGCCTTGCTCTGTAGCCCAGGCTGTAGTGCAGTGCTGCCATCTCAGCTCACTGAAATCTCTGCCTTCCAGGTTCAATCAATTCTCCTGCTTCAGCCCCCCAAGTAGCTGGGATTACAGGCATGTGCAGCGACACCCGGCTAATTTTTGTGTTTATAGTAGAAACACAGTTTCACCGTGTTGGCCTGGCTGGTCTTGAACTCCTGACCTCAAGTGATCCACCGCCTCAGCCTCCCAAAGTGTTGGGATTACAAGCATGAGCCACCATGCTGGCCTCATAAGAAAGTTTACAAATTTGTGTTAGGCCCCATTCAAAGCTGTCCTGGGCCTCATGCATCCTGTGGGCCATGGGTTAGATAAGCATGCCTTATAGGTTAAGGTTCGACATATGAGTTTGGAAGGTGGAGGCATGCAGGAATACAACTCAGTCCTTAGTAGCATAGAAGTCGCCTTTCCCCATTCTTTGGGGTCAATATGCCCCAGTCTTAGGTGAGACTAGGTCTTTTAGCAGACTTACCTGAAAGCATGAGAAAAATATAAAGTAGTGCTTCCTCATCTGAAAGGTTACAGTCCCTCTCCAGTGAATGCTGATGAAGAGAATGTATGGCCTTGGACTTCTGGACGCTGTAAAAGGCCAGAATTATGATAGAGTGGCAGCTTAAAAATTCATCTTAAAGAACAGCAAATGTGTTCCACTTGGGGGATAATTTTAATATTTGGATAGGCATTAGTGCTATGTATTGGATGTAATTTAAAACAAAAACACTTGCTTCAATGTGCCGCATTTGACATTTAATGTTATTCTGTCTCTGGGAACTGGATTCTCAGTCTTACAGATCCCTCGGCAAAGTCCATGCCCCCTAGCTACCCACAGTGTGACACTAGCGCTCTACCGTCTAGTTATGTCAGCATCACAGTAAGAATGCCCTCGCATCCGAACCATGATGGGAAATCAGCTGGCCACAGCAAGGTAAGCAATTGAAGTCATTAACTTGTTTTCTTCCAGCACAGAAAAGGGCATTTACTTTGTCCTCAAGTGACCAAAAAATGCTTTTAAACACTGAGGGGAAGTAGTTTGCAAAATGGCCAGCATGTTGATGGTAGTTATCCATTTGACTCCCATTTCCCAGGCTGGAGAACCCTGTGTGTGCAGTCCCGCAGCACGGCCTTCTGAAGGCGCACCTCCTGCAGAGGTGTTGACGGGAAAGGCGAGGAAGAGGGGATAATGTGACCTGCTTTCACAGGAAGCTTCAGATCATTTCCCTTTGTCTCTGTGCCCCTTTGGGAGATTTTGATCCAATTTGCTGTGGTGAGAAGAAGCTCTCGACATTACAAGAGAAAAAAAAAAAACCCAAAACTTTCATTTTCCTCCTAAGAAATGAAATTTTATTTCTGGATGACAAGGGCTTTGGAAGGCCATGGTGTGGTAATGAGTGACCCTTTCATAGCTGTTGAACATCAGTAGGCGACACATCCAAAGTATAGAGGCAGCTCTTAAAATACCAGCTAAAGGAAGAATTTAGAGAACAGAATGTCTTTAAGGAACTGTGCGAATGTTATTGATTCTTTCAAATAATGGTGTAACCTCTGTGATACAGCAACAATCTTCATGAGCTGTATTTATAAGGAACTGAGCTCATGAAGACAGCATGGGGGGTCTGGCGATGCAGGGCCCTTTGTTAACCATTGTTCTATTATTAGTATTGTTAGCATTGCCCTGCACAAGTTACCCACTTTTTCTCCAGCCCCCTGGGTATTCAGCAGAAATGATTTAAGAATGCCTGTAACAGCTGGGTGCAGTGGCTCACACCTGTAACCCCAACACTTTGGGAGACCGAGGTGGGTGAATCACAAGGTCAAGAGGTGGAGACCATCCTGGCCAACATGGTAAAACCCCGTCTCTACAAAAAATTGAAAAAAAAAAAGTTAGCTGGGCCTGGTGGCGTGCACCTGTAGTCCCAGCTCCTTGGGAGGCTGAGGCAAGAGAATCACTTGAACCCAGGAGGTGGAGGTTGCAGTGAGCTGAGATTGTGCCACTGCACTCCAGCCTGAGTGAGAGAGCGAGACTCCATCTCAAAAAAAACAAAGAATGCCTGTAACTTAGTCTCCTACTTGGCATCACCTAAGAGTTCAGGAGTGCAGTGACAGGTTAACTGAGCTCTTGCAGAAAGGTGCTGTGGACAGCGAGGTATAAGTCAGAGGAGTGACATGTTCTATGATGGGAAAGAAGAAAGCTGAAATCCCAAGGTGCTCCCTGACATTTGCCACTCACATAAACTGATGAGAGAGTTTGTTATTAAAGGCCTTTTTGTTTAATTAGAAATCAAACCAGAAGACCCTGGTGTCATAATTTATTCTCTTGCAAAATTATGTGATCAGAAGTTCCAGCCATAACCACAGAGGCATTGGAAGTTGGTAAATGATGCTCTGACTCAAAAGCTTCAAAGACATAGGAGGGGCAGAGGGAAGGAAATGTATCATTAATAAACAGCCTGAGCAAGTGGGCAAACATTCACCTATGATGTCACCTGCTTCTATATGATGAAATATTACACACCCAATTTCAGAACACTGTGCGTCCCATTTTTCATTACTTAGCAATGTGAGACACTAAATTAATGTCAAATTGTTTTTAATTAACTAAACAAAAGCCCAGTTCAATCTATCGCAAGCCACAGATGGTATGGATGTGCCATGGTTTCTTCCGTTACTCCCTAATACAGCTCCTACTTCTAGAAACAACAGGACAACAAACATCCTCATTCACGGAATCTTACATATTATAACTTTGTTTCTTTTTTTAAAAAGGATCAGTATGTCAAACATAAAAAACAAAGGATAACTGGAAAACACAGAAGTGTGGAATATTTTTTTAAAACAATTGTTAACATTTTGCCATATTTATTATTTTTTTTAAAAAAAGGTTGGAATTATAGTTAAAGATCTCTTTATTTTGCTTCCGTTTCATCTCTTTCCTTCTCTAATTATTATCTTAAATCAGCTATATATTGTCTCCATTCACATCTTACTATGTATCTAAAGTCCTGTGTAACTTAAAGACTACATAACTGAGCTCATGCTCTAGGTATTTTCCTGCAGTTTGTTTTTTATTGTTTATAACCTTATATTGTTTAAAGACTTACCACATCGACATATGTAAAGTCTTTAATCTTGACAGATGTAAATCTATCTCATATCTGATATTTACCTAGAAAATATAATGTCATTCATATGGTGCCAATTGCTATACAAATGATGCTTCATAAATCCTTGCTGCACATGTCTCCTCGAGGTTCTTTGGTACATACACCCAGCAGTGAAGTAGGTGAGTTAAATCATGTGTTGATTATCAACTTCACATGGTATTGCCAAATTTTTACCTATATGCACTTCTACAATAAAGAAGAATTCCCATTTCCCCACATTACCAGTGCTCTTTAATCTTTGCCAGCCTTATGAGATGAAATGCCAGCTCATTATAGTTTTTATTTCATTTCCCAGATTTCTAGTGAGTTAAGCATAGTTTCAAAGGTTTATTGGCCATTTGGTTTTCCTCATCTGTGAATTCATGTGATTTGTCCATTTCTTCCTCTTGGGTTGTCTTTTTCTTATTGAATATGGAAAAATTTTGTGTATGAGGTTGAGTCAGATGTCTTTTCTGTGGGTCAAAAATTGTTGAATATTGGCAATTTCATACAGATAAAAACAAGTATTTCTGGATATTAATATTCTGATCATTTTATCAGTAGCAGCTATCTTCTGCCAGTTTATGACTTCTCTCTTAAATGTGTTATGGAGTCGGGAGCAGTGGCTCACAACTGTAATCCCAGCACTTTGGGAGGCTGACCTGGGTGGATCATCTGAGGTCAGGAGTTCGAGACCAGCCTCACCAACATGGTGAAAACCCGTCTTTCCTAAAAATATAAAAACTTAGCTGGACGTGGTGGCACGCACCTGTAATCCCAGCTATTCAGGAAACTGAGAGAGGAGAATCGCTTGAGGCCAGGAGGCAGAAGTTGCAGTGAGCCGAGATTGTGCCATTGAACCCCAGCCTGGGCAACAAGAGTGAAACTCCATCTCAAAAAAATAAAAATAAAAAAATAAAAAATTAATGTGTTTATGACATATTTTGGCAAGTAGAAATAAATACTAATATCGCCAATTTTTAATAAACATTTTCCTTTATGGTTCATGTTTTCTCTCTCTCTCTCTTTTTTTTTTTAAGTCAGTCTTACTCTGTCACCCCGGCTGGAGTGCACTGGTGCAATCTTGGCTCACTGCAACCTTTGCCTCCCAGGTTCAAGCGATTCTCCTGCCTCAGCCTCCTGAGTATCTGGGATTGCAGGCACCCACCACTATGCCCAGCTAATTTTTTTGCATTTTTAGTAGAGACGGGGTTTCATCATGTTGGCCAGGCTGATCTCAAACTCCTGACCTTGTGATTCGCCATCCTCGACCTCCCAAAGTGCTGGGATTAAAGGCATGAGCCACCATTCCTGGCCTTCTCTGTTTTCTTTAAGGAATTTTTTCCTACCCCTATATCTTGAAGAGATGACTCTCATATTTCTATGGTACTGATTTCTTAGAAATAGGAGTTCTAGATTACAAGACACATGCATGTGCATTTCAATCTTACTTAAATTTCCAACACCAATGTGTGAGAATATCTTTTGCAAAAAACTGTCTAGCTGATGAATGAGAATAAATATCATTATTTTAATTTACATTCCTTTGACAACTAGTAAAATAGAGCATCTTTTATGAGTTTAATCACATTTAGATTTGCTCATCTGTGAATTTTCTATCTATATTATTTGCTATTATGTTTGTTGCGTTGTCTATCCATTTCTTACTAATTTGTGGGAGTTATTTGCATCTTACTGATAGTAACGCCTTAAATGACACATCCATGGCAGTTTTTCCCTAATCTAGCATTTGTATATTACCTTGAACAACAGTATGTCTTTCCATGCTAACAAATTTACATGTTTACATATCAAATATGTCCACATATTCTTCTATTACTTTTAAGTTTCTTTTATTTGTTTGTTTGGAGTTTTTGGCTAATACAGGGTCTCACTCTTTTGCCCAGGCTGGAATACAGAGGCACAATCACAGCTCACTGCAACCTTGACCTCCCAGACTCAAGTGATCCTCCCACCTAAGCCCTCCCAAGAAGCTGGGACTACACACCTGGCTATTTTTTTTATTTTTTGTAGAGACAGGTTACTTGGCATGTTGCCCAGGCTGGTCTTGAACTCCTGAACTCAAATGATCCTCCTGCTTTAGCTTCTCAAAGTGTTGAGATTACAGGTGTGAGCCATTATGCCTGGACTAAGTTTCTTGCTTTGATATAATGTATGCAAAAGTCTCTCTGATCCCTATCTTATACATATATTCTAAAATTTCTTCTGAGATTCTGTTTGCTTGCATTGTTTACTTTTGAATATTTAATCTCTCTTAAATTTTTCTATTTATTGTAAGGCAGATGTGGAAATAGAAAGAAACAATTTTTGTATCATTGGACACCCTGATATGTAAATAAAACCCTATCACATCATATTGCAATGGATATGTTGCATGTTTGATTGTTCCACAGTGCATAGGTAAGAGAGTTATCACATGCTTTTATTTTTCTAAATTCATTTCAAATACACTCTCTCCCTTCCATCAGGGTTGCTGGGAAATCTAATCTGTCATTTTGTCAGGAAGCTCCTCTCACCCATTTGGAATTATACAAGAACTCTAGGGCCTAGTGGTCAAAGATAATGGGGATAAAGATAATGGGGATAAAGTCCTTGGCTATCAGTTAGTTGGATTTATTTTGGAGAACTTGGACTTCCTGAGCATGTAATCCATTTGTGGTGGGCAACTCCTCCGGCAGTGTTTATGTTCTCCATGGCCAGGTTTTGGCAGTGTTATTTTCACTAAGAATCCCACTTGGGATGCTAAGTTCCTGACCTGCCTGGGTTCAGGCAGAGCCACGGCTATTGGCATTCCTACCAGCTCCTGGCTTTAGGTAAATGCATCAATCCCATCCTACTGTCTTCTGGAAACCAAGTCTCCTCCTCCCTGTCCCAAAGGTTGGGTGCTTTCTCTCTCTCTCTCTCTCTCTCTCTCTCTCTCACTCTCTCTCTCTCTCTCTCTCTCTTTTGAAATGGAGTTTTGCTCTGTCACCCAGGCTGGAGCGCAGTGGTGTAATCTCAGCTCACTGCAACCTCCACCTCCTAGGTTAAAGTGATTCTCCTGCCTCAGCCTCCCAAGTAGCTGGGACTACAGGCACACACCACCACACCCAGCTAATTTTTTGTATTTTTTGTAGAGATGGTGTTTTGCCATGTTGGCCAGGCTAGTCTGGAGCTCATAACCTCAGGTGATCTACCCACCTCAGCCTCCCAAAGTGCTGGGATTACAAGCATGAGCCACCACACCCAGCCAGTTGTTTAATTTTCAACAAGTTTCTTTATCTCTGGGCTCCTGATTCTTTCCAAAAACTAGACCATCCCCAAAGTCTCTTTCAGCTCTATAATTTTATGATAATTATGATTCAGAGGGTCTTAGTTGTCAGCTATGACTAATTGCAGGTATCATAGCGTCTCTAGCCATAAAACATCCAACTTTCTTCCTTGAAAGGGTGGTGTATCTTCCTTGAAAGGATGGATCTATCTGCCAGCCTTTCTGTCAGCCCTTTCTGATATGCAAATAACCATTGAACCAAATTAATACAAGAGCTTTTGCCTGGAAAATGCCTCACTAACAGGAAAGCCGGGATTTTGCTCCTAGTATCATCAGGTTAAATAGACTGCCACCAGACTCAACAGCTGAGCTGGTTCCTTCCAGGCATCCTGCCAGTGTGTGAGGACAGGGACACTTTGGCTGGCACTGAGATCTCTGCAGAACATGATCTCCCCTCTGCTCACTTTGTCTCCTTAGGCCCTCGAGGCCCAAGCAGCTGTGAGATTTTGTCCTGGTCACTGAGAGAAGTGGCCTCTCCATGGAGATGGCTCTGAGACTCTGCCCCCTAAAGCTAATTGAGGTTCTGTGATAGATTTGTTTTCTGTTTCTACCTTTAACAGCCGCACTGAGCTCTGCCCTGGGAAGCACAAATGGTTTTTGTCTCCTATTCTACCTAATTGAGTAGTTCTCAACAAGGTGGAAGAAAGATATCTATTTCCACCTTTCCAGCACCAAGTCTAACCCACTGTGCTGTTTGTCTTTTTAGCTGGGGCTTCTTAAAAATAGCATTTTGGAGAACTAGACTGAGGATAGTGAAAGAGAATGCTGCTTCTCCACAAGAGAATCAATAGTCTTTTATCACTAAAGATAAACTACTATTATGCTAGGTAGTTTGAACTGGAAATCATGGGATTTCAGGGTTGGGTAGGATGTCAATATCACATTATCCTAATAAATTTCTGTATATTAGTTCACATTAAGATAATAATATATAACCTGCCCCACTTCCTGCCGACCAATCCAGTTTATAAACATAGTCTTTTAATCTATTAATTAACAAAAATTTAGTGAACATCTGTGCCCCATTTAATATTGGACAAGATAGAATGTAATATGATTCTAGAGTTGTTTATGGAGTTGGAAATGCCTAAAACCTATATGACGAAATATTCAGTCTCATTAAAACCCAGGCAAGCCTGTAATCCCAGCACTCTGAGAGGCCACGGTGGGAAAATCACTTGCTTGAGCCTAGGAGTTTGACATTAGCCTGGGCAACATGGCGAAACCCTGTCTGTATTAAAAAACAAAAATTAGTCACCAGGCCTGTAGTCCCAGCTGCCGGGTAGAGTGGGTGCTGAGGTGGAAGAATCACCTGAGCCCAGGAGGCAGAGGCGGCAGTGAGCTGAGATTGTGCCACTGCACTCCAGCCTGGGTGACAGAGTGAGACCTTATCTCAAAAACAAACAGGAAAAACCCCAGAGGATGTTAAGCACAAAGTTAAGAAACAAGACTTCTCATTTCTCCTGTGCTTTTGGTGAGTTGTGATGGGTGTATTAGTGGATATACGCTATATATGTTGCATATCCAAGCAAACTATTGTGTTCTCTGAGCTTAGTGCCGTATGTGGCATAGGAATGTAGGATCCAAGAGGATGAGGAGATGATACTCTATATGCATTTAAGCTATGAACATTCAATATACATTTCTCTCAGCACACAAGGAGAACTCGTTTAACTGTGCTGGTGATTCTGCCGTCTCACTCACTGAGGGTATGTTTGGGATATGTATCAGGTTTACAACATACAGCACTATACCTGAGTAGAAATGTGGCTTTGTTTTTCTATAGCTGAACACAGCTTAGCTCCCAAGCCCCTACTTCTGGTAGGCAATGTAAAAATAGTGTTTCAAAATAACTCGAGCATTCTAGTTTAATATTTCGTCTCTTTGGGTACACATTTGAGCACTACAGGTTTCTTCCCCTCACCACCCTCCTGCTTTCCTTCACAGGGGCGACTCAAGGTACCTGCTGAGCTCTGCGTGCTCTCCCTGTTATGTGCTGACCTCACTTGAGGCAGGACTCCTCCCTCCTAGTTTGTGGGCACTGTGACACCATCCCACTGCTGATGGTTGGCAGTTCAGGCTCCAAGTCCACAGTCTACACATTGGCCAACCCTGACCCAACCCAGGCCTCTTCTGGTCTAGAGGTCCCTTCAAGATGTCTGAATCCTCCTTGTGGGGCTCAGGAACCCTCAGCTACCTTTCTCCTCTACAAGGAGGGAGTAGGAGGGCAGGTGGGAGCTTTCAGGCCCATCCTCATGGGGTGCAATGGATGCCTTTGATACAATGGTTCTGAGCTGCAAGACCATTAGAATAACCAGATGCAAACGTAATTCATCAGTGACTATCTCAGAATCTGCTACACATCAGTCTGCTGTACTGTCATTCTGACCCAGTTTATTAGACACTGAAAGCAATCCTAGCATTTTAAAGGTATGTTTTTATCAACAATATTGTCTCTTAATGCAAGTCAACCATTTATTCTAGTGCCTAACCAAAGCTAGAGGAAGTGTTGGCTGGGTTTGATTACCCGCACATGGTCTGTGTTGGTTTCCATCATGGAAACTGCAAGAGGGAATTTCAAAGCTACCTGTATTTATTCATGATTCTCATGTTATATTCAGGTTTTGTAATCTAGGCCTTTCAAAGAATAACTCCATATAACTTTTTTCTGCTGTTTTTTTTTCTACTCTGTGCTCAATGATTTGATTGTTAAAATAAGGTACAGTGCCTAAAAGAGAACTAATGAAAACAAAATTCTTACAGCATTGCCAGAAGCAGAGTTTTTCTGCTGGAGTTTTAAAAAACCCATTGAAGAAGCCCTAGAAGATGTAGCATACACCTGTGGGTGGACAAGGACCTACCTGTTCGATCTTCCTTTGAACTTCTAGCATGTAACGTTATACTTAGCACATACTACGTGCTAAACATATTTCCTGAAAAAAAAAATAAGCAAATAAACAAACCTGCAAACAGTAATTTCTATCGATGAGACATAGAATGTACTAGTTTATTGAAATAAAATAGTTTAATTTGAGCAAAGCTAGTGGGCTTCCATAGGAGCTGCTTGTTGCAGAGTCTGAGTATCAGAGATACTGACTTGTAAGCTAACCTGATTACAAAAGAAATAGCATATCTTGTGCATTTTGTGGATTGGACTGCCCGCTTAGAGTCTGCAAGGCGGGCACACTTCCATCATGTTCAGCCATTCTGTTTCACATTAAAGAATTACTTTTACTTCATACAGAGTATTTCCAGTGCCCATTAGAATTTCAGCCAACTCAATCCACAGAACACAGACACAATTCTGAGAAATGGTCTCCGAGAACCCCCCAGAAGCCCAAGGTGTGAGTGGCCCTCTTTCAGCTCTGGTTCTATGCTTATATGCCATGTATTTTTAAAAGGCCTATGTGTTTGGTCTCCTGATCACAGAGGTTCGAGGCAGCAAACCCCAGAAGGGTGGGGAAGGCTGTGAGGTGAGCACTCAGGCTGCAAGAGAGGTGACAGCTTCTGGATGCTGCTGAAAGAAGGGACAGCAAAACTCACGCACCCATGCAACCACATGTGGTGGACAGTTGCCCTAGCCCAGCTTCCTTTCCTTTGGAGGCCACGCTGCTCCTTCTCCATGTGGCTCTGGTATCATCACTCCAAGCATAATGCCCTCAACCCCAGCCACCATCGGAGTGAGGGAGAAGTGATGCACAGCCTTCCTTGAGACGGGGGAGCATGAGCTAGGAGAGGCTCCAAGATGTGACCAGGCTGGAACAGGGAATGTGTGGCTGCAGAAGGCTCTTTCTCTAGCACACACAGAGAGAGAGAGAGACAGGTTCTTGTTTTTCTTTTCTTCTTTTTTTTTTTTTTTTGAGACAGAGTCTTGCTCTTGTTACCCAGGCTGGAGTGCAGTGGCATGATCTTGGCTCTCGACAACCTCCGCCTTCTTGGTTTGAGCGATTCTCCTGCCTCAGCCTCCAGAGTAGCTAGGACTACAGGCATGCGCCACCATGCCCGGCTAATTTTGTAGTTTTATTAGAGACAGGGTTTCTCCACGTTGGTCAGGCTGGTATCAAACTCCTGAACTCAAGTGATCAGCCCGCCTCGGCCTCCCAAAGTGCTGGGATTATAGACGTGAGCCACCATGCCCGGCCTTTTTTCTTAAAATAAAAATATACATGTAAGATGTACAATGCGATGTTTTGATATGCATACACTTTGTGTAATGATTACCACGGTCAACTAACATCTCCATCATTTCACAAAGTTACCATATTTATGTGTGTGTGAATGAAAACACTTAGGATCTACTCTCTCAGCAAATCTCAAAGTATACAATGCAGGATTGTTAACTGCAGTCACCAGGCTATACATTAGATCTGCAGACCGTTTTCATCCTACATAGATGAGACGTTTCACCTCTTAACTAACACCTCCCCATTTCTCCCAGCCCCTAACAACCCCCGTGCTACACTCTGTTTCTAGAAGTTCAACCCGTTTAGATTCCAATGTGAGAGCAGGCAGTATTGGAGGTTCTTTATGACAAGTGAAAATGAGAGTTAGGAAAAGTGTCTGGTGTTACCAGGCAGGTGCCATCCTTTGGCCCTGGTTCCTGTTCACCAGCTGAAATAAAACCTGGGACTGCTATGTTTTCTGCAGGTGGTTTGCAGTCGCTCTTGAGAGTTACACCTAATGACCTGTATGGCTCTGGCTTCAGGCCCCTGGGTAACCCAGACGCCAGGTGCTGTGCCTACCCTGGGGATGCCTGCCTGTCCTCTGGCCCTCCTCCTGTCTCTGGCCCTTTTCTGCTCTCTCTAAATCCCATGCCTAGAACAACCTGCCCTCCTGCTCCTTCTACCATGGCCTTCCTGTCCACACAGGCCCCAGAATTTTCTCATGATGCTCTTAGTCCCCATCTGTTTCTCTCTTTCTCTAACTTTCTTTACCTCATGATTAGCAGCTTGTCATATAGCTCCCGCTTTCCCTGTCACTCCCTAACCTGTTACCCTGTCTGTGTTTTTCTTTATAACACTTAGCACCCCTATGCCAAGAGTCATGGCTCACGCCTGTAATCCCAGCACTTTGAGAAGCTGAGCTGGGTGGATTATGAGGTCAGGAGTTCAAGACCAACCTGGCCAACATAGTGAAACATTATCTCTACTAAAAACACAAAAATTAGCCAGGCATGGTAGCATGGGCCTGTAGTCCCAGCTACTCTGGAGGCTGAGGCAGGAGAATCACTTGAACCTGGGAGGCAGAGGTTGTGGTGAGCCGAGATCACACCACTGCACCCAGCTTGGACAACAGAGGGAGAGTCCATCTCAACAAACAAACAAACAAACACTTAGCACCCCTTGACACACTACCCGTGTGCATATGTGTGTATATACATATACTCTTGGGCTTTTCTACTGATTGTCTTTTTGCACACTAGAATGTCAGCTCTGCAAGGGCAGGGACTTCTGTTTTGTTCACTGCTGTATCCCAGAACCTGTAATAGTAACCTGGCAAATGATGATGCCCAGTGGGTATTTGTGAAATGAGTCAGTGCTGTGCTGCTTTCTAAAGTGTGTCTTGTTCGGTGTTTCCTCTTCGGAGGCTCCATAACAACGGGTTTGTGTTGTTTGGCTAGCACATAAGGCAGTCCACTTGTGTCTTAACTGTGCCCCTCAGCTCACTGCTGACTTGAAAGTAGAGGTCAGTTCTTACTCATCTTTGCATCCTAGCAGCTCCTCAAACATACAGTTCCTTCTCCCATTAGGACCTATGATGAATGTGCTCTTGGTGTTTGAAATCTTTCCAACTGGTCTTCATGCAGGCTACACAGGATTGCCTTGTAATTCTTGTGTGTATTTAAAGGCATCACGCAAACAGACAGTTGTTCAGAAAAGCATCCTGACTTGCTGGAATGATATAATACACACACCAAGGCATTACACACCAGGTAATGTATTCAGCGCATGGTAATGGATTCAGATACACAAAAGACCGTCAGAGAAAGGTGACTGGTTCCTCTTCCTTGGCAGCTTGAGGCCAGAGAGGTCACGAAGACCAGACACCTCAGCAGGCTTGAACTCAGCCACCGGATTGCACAGCCGTTTCAGACTCATTTCTCCCACGTCTCCAACAACATAATACTAACAACAACCAACTGCGGTTGAGCACACACTACAGTGCCAGGAACTGATTTAGTGCTTTGCATACATTGTCTCAATTAATCCTTACTGGAGGCGCGGACTATGATTATCTCCGTTTTACAAAAGTGGAAACACTGGCACAGAGAGATTAAGCAACTTGCCCAAGGTCACACAGTGAGTAATTGGTAGGGCTTGGGTTCATACCCTGACCGACTGCTCTAGAGCCTGAACTCTTAAGCTCCTTACTCTGCTGCTGCCGTGTTATGTGGTTAACATATCCAGGGACAAAGGCTGTAGTAGCTAAGTTAGCATCTGTTTAATGTCTAACTCATAATGGTGATTGTACAATGTGATTAACAATTCCTTTAAAAATTGAGCCTGTAATTGAGTGCCTCTTTAGCTGCGGTGTGCAGGGAACACAGGCTGCAGTGCTCTACCTGAATCCCATGTTCTCATGATCCAAATTTCCAAAACAAGACCGGGTCTGTCGCTGTTTGAAATCGGCTTCTCAGTTCTGCATTTGTGATTTTACAATGACTTCCGCATTCATTAGCATCCCATTAATGGGCCAGTATATGCGAACAGTTGTACAATGAAGGGAGGGGATTTTTTTTTTTTTTCTTTTCTGTTAAAACTACAGGTCTACGGAATGAAAATGCTAAACTTAATGAGTATAACCTGGAAAGTAATTTCATGGGCTGTAGTACTTTGATGGCAATAATTCTTGGATGTCAAAAGGATAAGGACACAGTTTTCTGCTTCTAATTTTATCCTGAGAAAATGGTGGTATTGAGCTATCCATGGAGTGCTCCTGTAGATTAATTCCAGTTTTCCTTTTGTAGAGGAGATTTAAGGGAAGTCTTAATCTGCTTTATATTTAACTCTTATCTCCACGCTGTGAATTAAAAATAGAATGCTGGACTGTAGTCTCACCCCCCGGACTCTATGAGGGCTCAAGTTACTCCAGCGTCCAGCTGGGCTGAGAGCCGCCCCAGGTCTCTCTCTGGCTCAGTGCCCCTCCCAGACTTTCCAAACAGCTGCCTCATCTACATTTTTATCCAAGAGCCACACATTAACCTGTCTAAAGTGAGCAGTTCTTATTCTATGGTTCTTGAATAACATTTAGCATTTTCCTCAGGTACTTTTCATTTTTCATGAAATTCAGTGAATTCTGAATCCTTCCAGAAGCTACAGTCTTGAAAACTGTGTCCTGTAGTTGTGTTCTCCTAAATCTTTGCGTAAGGTGGAGTGAAAGGTAAACAGCCTTTAATCTTTTTTACTCGTCATCTGGTAAAAATTTGCTCTGGAGTATGTCCCCTGCTTTCCCTTCTCCCCTCTCCCACTCTTCTCCCTTCCTTCTCCCAGCTCCACACCTTTTCCTAATTCTCTTCCCCATTCCCCGCATGTCTGAGACAGCTGGGAAGGGCGGGAAGAGTTTGGGTGTTGGGAAGAGCCAGAGTCAGGATAGGTCCCTCTCACCTACTCACCTCATATCCAACCTGGAGCTTCAGAAATACAATTGAGGGTCAAATCCAATAACTAATCATCGGGTCAGTCCAGACCAAAAGAGGTAAGAAATCCCTATGGGAATGTCTACTATGGCTTCGGTTTCTGGTTTTTCTAGCCGGGCAAAGGTTGCACGTGTGGTGAATCTTGCGTGTCTGGTCCAAGTGCAGGGACAAAGGGAACCATGGTAAGCACAGCAGGAGAGGTGCTCTGTAGATTCCGTCCTGTCCTCAGTGTAGACACATGTCCTCCAGCTCCTTTGCCTCCTTCATCTTGCCCCACTAGCAAGTTTCAGTTCTAAA